CGAAACTCCGTCTCAAAAACAAAACAATAATCAGCACATACCATGTTTTTTATATACATAGCACAGTGGTTAACAGATACTATCTCATCACAATCCTTTTAGATAGGGGACTGTTTCTGTCCCCATTTTCAGTTGAGAAAACTGAGTCACAGTGAGGTTAACTTACCCTAGGTTACACAACCATGCAGTAACAGAACTAGGACTCAAGCCTGGTTAGTCCAGCTAAAAGTCAAGGCCTTGACACCACCACATCACATGGCAGCTTACATCTTCACTGAGCGTCCAGTAAGGATGTGGGACTTCAGCAGCCTCTATAGATGGTGTCATGCATTAGACAGAATTGTAAAATTTTTAATGACTAAAGTTTAGTATTTTTCTACTTTGCAAAAGCCCACGTAGGTATACGCTTAGCATTCTGCCACATGGCCTTTGATACCATCTGTACTAAAAATCCACAGAACAATGAAAACCACTCACTGGCACAGAAGAGTTGCTAATAGCTGCTAATACTCAGGGGAGCAAACAAATGGCTCTGCGATGGTTCTCTGGGCTGGAGGCATAGCTTGCTCTAAGCCTGCCTGTCTGTAACGACAATGGGAGAGCTTCCCACACCTCCTGCTTGAGCCCACTTCATCTCCAAGAGACCAACACCAGGAAGGTGGCCTATTCAGGCCAAGACTCACCCTGTGATGCCCTTGGATTGCCTTTTGCTGTAAAGTCTAATGACAATAACAACAACAACAACAACGCATGCTGCTTAGCACAGTCTTAGACAGCACTGATTTGCTCTAATACTCTGGTCATAGAAACATCTTTTAATTAAAACTGTAGAGAGAGAATATATAAATCCATTCCAGTTAGGGAGAGTGTCATTATTAGGGTGAAGTATATGAAGTCACCAATATTCAATCTTTTTGACCTACAAAAATGTCTTATGTAAAGTGAGTGCCGCAAATAAAATGCTCTGAAGCTCTCAGCCCATGAACTGACAGCTTGTAGGGCATTTTGTCCAGTCAGGATGAAGTTCAGCCCTCTGTGGTTGCTCTTTTTTCCACTAAGGAATATTCTAGGGCTCAATGTTGACTCACAAAATAACCACAAAGGACACACAAGCAAGAGTGCCCCAGGAGCTGCAGATGATGGAAGAGGTAGAGGCTGAGGTTGAAGTGCAGCGTGGTGGCCAATGGCCTTCTCAAGGAAATGTCAGAGAATCACAGGGGGCAAGTCAGCTGCCAAGGGGGGAATGGTGCAAGATCTGAGATATTATGACGAGCATCTTAAGCATCGTTGCACAGGAAAAACAAAACAAAACAGAACAGAGGCAGGTCAAAACTGCAGGAGGTATGACAAGAATGAATGACTGTTGAGCTTGCCTTTTCATAAGGATTATCTTCTGACAGCTTCATGCTTCCAGAAAGCATTCTCTACGCTAATCAGACATGCACAAAATAACAACGGTAGGCCAACACTTCCTGAGGACTGACGGCCAGCAAGGCACTGTGCCGAGCGCTTTGTGCATATGTATTAGTCAGGGTTCTCCAGAGCAGCAGCACCTGCAGGGTATAAATACACATTGAGTCTTATTTCAGGGACCTGGCCTATGCAATTGTGAAGCTGGCAAGTCCAAAATCCACAGAAATTTGAAGCAGAATTTCTTCTTTCCCTGGAAATCTCAGTTCTGCCCTTCAGGCTTTCCAACTGATTTAATGAGGCCAACTCAGATGACAGAAGATTGTTTCCTTTACTTAACGTCAATTGATTGTAGATGTTAACCATAGTTGCAAAATACCTTCAGAGCAACGCCTAGATTACCGTTTAATTAAATAACTGGGTACTATGGACTAGCCAAGTTGACAGGTAAAATTAACATCACAACATATATGCTCATTTTTCCCTCATGAAAAATCCAGAAGGTAGCATCATTTTATCCCCACTTCACAGATGAAGAAGTGAAGGCTCATGAAGGTAAGGAACTTGCTCAAGATCACACAGATTGTAAGGAACAGAGCCAAGCTTTAAAACCAGTGTGACTTCAGAGCCCGTGAATTTAGCCACTAGGATTATCTATCTCACCAGGTAGCAAGAAGTTTCTGCTAAGGATACTCTTATTTGGGAGTTAGTAAGGAAAAGCTGGCAAAAAGTACAGCCCAGAGAAGGTCAGCATCAGCTTTTGTGCATTAGAGAATCGCAAGCTCTCCATTGCCATAGGCTGCACAGTTTGGTGCTCAGCCAGTAGATCCAGCCTCCTTCCCAACCACGCCTCTTCCTCATCCTTTCATCCCATCGTGCAACAAATACAAGTGAGCACTTAGTAAATTAGCCAGTCCATGAATAAAGGGAAGGTTTTAATATAGTGGGTACAGAGAGCACCAGCTTGTGTGAAAAAAAAATCAGATAAAATTGGATTACATATTAAGATAAAAATCAAAAGGATAAATTTAAAAAGTCATTATTTCTGCCAATCCAAATAGACTTCTTCCAAAGTTCCAAATTAATCAGAACAGCAGCATTAGCAGAATCTGGGAAAGCTGCCCCCTTGAAGTTTTGGCAAAGTAGACATAGAAGAACGTAGGGATAGGGGACTTCAGGGAAAGACAGGTGACAGCTACTTGAGATTTTTCTTTCCCTCAGTTATGTTTTCAATCTCTTTCATTTTTCATTCCCTCCTGCCCACAAATGGGAGCATTTCCCACATCTCCTTGTTGAGCCCACTCCATCTCCAAGAGACCAACACCAGGAAAGTGGCCTATTCAGATCACTATTTTTTCCACTATTTTTGAGGTAGTGGAATAAATGCTTCCACTGTCTCAAAAATACCTGCTTATAGATAATTATAATAAACATAAATGAACTAAATGGTTTAGAAATGGCAACGTTTGATCAGAGAAAATAGGATTTAAAAGTAAGATTCTGATTCTAAGAGACAAGTCTTGAATACAAGGACATAGAAAGATTGAAAGCAAAAGGATAGAAAAAGATAGGCCTTCCAAACCCTGAGCAGGAGACAGTGAATATCAGATAAAGAACACTTCAAGATAAGAAATATACCAGAGATAAAGAAGGAAATTTCCCAGCAATAAAAATGTCTACTTACCATGAAGATATAAAAAAAAGTTCTAAATCTGTATATGTTTAAATATACAATTCAAAATTTGTACGTTTTTCTAACACAGCAAAAATTAACAAAAGTAAAAGCAGACATAGATATCAATAATGTACTGTGGGTTTAAAGACACCTCCATCAGTAACTGACAGAACAGAAACTTACAGAAATAGTACGGTAACAGATGGTTTATCAACATGATGTAACTGACAAATCAATAAACTGAGCTATTGATTGAATATTGAAATGCACCGTGACTATTGCTAGAGATGCTTAACCAAAATAGGAACACATATGCACCCAAAGACATTTACAAGAATGTTTATAGCAGCATTATTTCTACTTTTCAAAAAGCTGGAAACAGCCCAATGGAATTACAGCAAATTGAATTAATGAATTGTGCTTTGAAAAAAAAAACTTGCTTCAACTCTGATTCCCCATTCCCTGGCAAGGTACTAAAACTTTTTTTTATTTTCCTATTTGCCAATTTTAAGTAAAAACTTCAAAAAATATTAGCTCTATTTCCTCACTTCACACTGTTCAATACTCAGATGCTTTTAGGTAGTCCCCATCTTGCCACAGAAATTGGTCAGAGCAGCAGTTACAACATTCTGTTATCTTGTTTCTTCCCATTCTCCTTGCCCTCTCTGTATCATCAGACACTGGCGATCCCTTCCTTTAATCTGAAAATCTCTTCTTTCTTAATTTCTCTCTCTTGGCTTTCTCTCTGTTGCTAAGACCTTATTTTTCAGTGTCTTCCACAGCCTTTTGTTCCATCATTTCAGGTACAAGGAGTCCTGGTCCCTGCTCATTCTGGATGATGATGTTCCATCCCATGGCTTTGGTGCCATCTTTGTACTAAGGCAGTAGGCACAGTGATGTGATTGGAAATAGACTTTGAAGTCAAAAAGAGGACAAGCTAATCCTGCAAATCAAGGTCTCTAAACCAAACCTTTCTCCTGAGCTTTAATCCAAAGGGCTCTAAGAATAAACTTGACCCAGGTCAAATCTGTGTTGAAAGCCAACTTTATATCCCTCCACATTCATGAATTATTGAAAGCCCATATCCTATTGTCACAATACCAGCCCCAGTTCATGTAGTCAGATTTGGTTGGCTAGGACTTTTCTGCTCAGTGCTCTGGGTGACTCTCCAGGAAGACTGTTTGGCACCAGTGACATTATTGTTGGCACAGAGAGAAGATGTCTATCTTTGCCCACTGAGCTTCATCCCTGTCCCCTCAGGGGAGCTGCCCAGCAGTTGACCCTGCTACAGCAAGCAGCTCGTCCTGAAGTCCCGTGTAGTTCGAGGAAGGACCAGGCTGTGTGTCACATCACACCTCTACCTCACACCACAGGGCTCTCACCTCTCACCCTTGAGCTTTCCTGTCAATGCTAAGATGCAGATGCCAGGGGCTTCCTAAGACAAACCCACTGACTTTCCAAGAGGGGTCTGCAAAGCTGCATGTTGCAAAGAGACAAGTATTAAATGTTTCTGGCTTATGCCCTTTCATTGGCTCAATGCCAGCACTCTTACGGCAAAAATAACCTAAAAATGTAGGTTGACAACCCAATTCTGCTGGTGGGGGATGGATTTGGCCAATGACCAACAGGAGACAGAAAGGAGTCAACAGATAGATTATTCTCTCCTCTTCCTCCTCCTGAGAAATTGTGCTGAGACTCACACTTCCATATGCCCTCCCTGGCAATGTCCTGCATAACTAAGCAACAAGAAAGTTTTCCAGTCAAGTGTAGACAGTTTGGAAATGCACCATTCTGCACTTCTCTTCCATTACCTCATTTTTGCTTCCCTGGATTGCACTCACTCTATAAAGTTTTAGCACATAACTTTTTTTTTTTTAATTATAGTTTTTTTAAGTTCTGGGATACATGGGCAGAACACGCAGGTTTGTTACCTAGGTATACACATGCCATGGTGGTTTGCTGCACCCATCAACCCATCATTTAAATTAGGTATTCCTCCTAAGGCTATTTCTCCCCTATCCCCTCACCCCCTGACAGACCCCAGTGTGTGACGTTCCCCTCCCTATGCCCACGTGTTCTCATTGTTCACCTCCCACTTATGAGTGAGACCATGCAGTGCTTGGTTTTCTGTTCTTGTGCCAGTTTGCTGAGAATGATGATTTCCAGATTCATTCATGTCCCTGCAAAGGACATGAACTCATCCTTTTTTATTGCTCTATAGTATTCCATGGTGTATATGTGCCACATTTTCTTTATCCAGTCTATCCTTGATGGGCATTTGGATTGGTTCTAAGTCTTTGCTATGTGAACAGTAGCTTTTTGACATAACTTTTTGACTGAGGCTCTGCTTTCTGGAGAAAACAGGCTAGAGACGCCATTCATAAACAAAAGGAAAGGCAGATTAAAAGTAAGGATTAAACCTCTTGATTCCCCACTAGGTGCCAGTATTCTTGCTAAGCAACTCAAATTTGCTATCTCTTTTAATCTTCACAGAAAACCATACAATAGGTATTATTTCTCCCAATACAGTGGGGGAACTGAGACTCAATGAGGCTTTAGTAACTTATCCAAGATGGCAGAGCTAAGATGCTGACTTCGGTGCATCTTGCTTCAAAGCCAGCCTTCTTCCCACTATTCCTGTCTTTATTATGGAACACTGGGGCTTAGGAATTCTGTGAAGATTCCATGTGATAATTCATTAGTGGCCATTTTCAGAAAGCTTTAGGCTGATTCAGTGAAGACCCTTTTAAATATCCAAGCAGAGCATAATTGTAAAGTCCTAAAACGGCAGACTGGGCAATCAGTTAAAAGTGATGGTTAAAGTACAATTATTACTTGAAATTTAGATATCATTTTAGGTAGTCATTTCTGAATGGAATCACACTGATGGGCTAACTAAATTCGATCATGAAAGTTACTATTACAAGTGAGGGACTTTTCCCCGGTCCACAAGGGGCATGGTTTCAAAGGCAGGAGTTTCCCGGCTCCACACCTCCATTTGGAAACCAGAGGGGTTTCAAATGTAAAGTTCTTTGTCTCGGTTTCCCGCAGGTGGGCTAGGTCCGGAAAGCCAGGTGAAGCTCCTTTGTCCCAAAGAGCCCGCAGGTGGGCTAGGTCCGGAAAGCCAGGTGAAGCTCCTTTGTCCCAAAGAGCCCATGGGAAAGCCCTGGGAGGAAGGGGGCTCTGTAACTCAGGGCTGTGGACCAAGTAATATCAGTCTAACATCAATCACTCGAGAGGAAGTTTGAAAGAACTCCTCTCATTGGACAAGAACATGAATGGGGCAGGCATACAACTCAAGGGTTAAAACTCCAGCTGCTCCTTACCTATAGGATTCCTTCTCTTGGGTCTCCGCCTACGACAGTGTGGGAACTGTCTTTCTTTCCCTCTCTCTGTCTAATAAATTACTTTTCCACAAAACTCTTTGGGTCCATGATATTATTCGAACGGTAAACTCACCACGCCTCCAGGGTCCCCTTTCCCCATTCTTGGGGTTAGTGAGGTCAAGAACCTCTTCAGAACTGGGAGCATCTTCAGGACGCTCCCCTAGTTACATCTTCTGCCAAGCCCGCCAGGAGAACGTGGGACTTCAGAGCGGTGAGTGATATTGGACCCCTTTTGCTTGCTAATCTGTCCTTTCTCTTCTTTTAAATTTGTAGAAGAGGTAAAAACCAGGCACCTGTTGGCCATCAAAGTGCAACTAGTGCAGCCGCTGGACTAAAGACACGGGTGTCAGGCTTTCTGGGAACGGACTCTGCAACAGCTCCCAGCTCTCCAGAACTGGGAGTCCGTCCGCCCCGAACCAGCTTCCCTTTCTTGCTGTTCTTTTTCGCTCTGGGCCAAGCCGAGGGCCGGCCAGAGGAAAGGGCCGTGGTCCAAACTCCTGGTTCAGTCCAGTTGAGGTCGTGGCCCCACTTAGACCTTCTAACAAAAAGCCGCCTGTGCGAGCTATGCCCAGCCTTTCAGACCCCAACCTCCTGGGTCCAGATTTCTGTAAGGCAGACTTCTTCCGGCTCTTTTTTCAAAGATATTTTCTACACAGGAGGTTATTATCCTCCTTGCTAGGACTTTGAGGCTCTTGGGGCAGCAGTCCCAGGACCGTTGCCCGTGGTGCCCTTAGGCTTATGCCCATGAGGACCTCTTACAGTACACAGGGCCAGTTCTCTTAGTCCACTGTGCTAGGTTATGTCCTAACAGAGCAGGAGTCTATCAGAGGGTACTGGAGGCTATAGGACATTGTGTTTTTTGTCACTGGCAATTTCGCAGTCCAACTGAGTGGTGCCAGAACCCGATGACGTACAATTTGTCTTGCCTAGGATTGACTCTCCGTATGGCAGAACTTTTCCATCTAAAATACCATAGTCAGACCTGGTCTGAGGCTCAAATAGTTCATTACAGGCCCCACAACCCTAGGGCATATTCCTAGAATGGAAAGTGGGGTGGGGGAGAAGGCCCGGTCCCGAGGGCATTGTTCCAGCCAGGCAGCCTGCCATTACCTTCTTTAAGATTGTTGCGATTAGAGGCCCCTCCCAAGGAGTTTATCCTCCTAGGGCAGCTTTATGATCAGGCCTATGTTAATTAAACTCTTGCTAGGGAATATTGGCACCCATTGCCCAAGACTCACTGGCCTAGTTCTTCAAGGACATGCTGGTAAAGGGCCACTAAGCCTGGCGGTCCCCATGTCCTTAAGGTGGCCATAAGGACATTAGACAGTGAGGGTATGCACATGATGCCAGTAAGAGTGATTAAACCTGGCACCTGGGGGGCCCAGGAGATAATCACGCATCTAGGACACGAGGAAACCACAAGGTGCTCTAACTGGGGGATGCCCCAGGGCTAGCAGTTGCGAGGAATAACCAGGGATGTGGGTATCCCTGTGTTCAATTTCAGATGGGTGCTACTCTTCCCAAGGCAAAATCACCCTTAAAGTGTATCCTGGATAACTGGGACCAATTTGACCCACGATCTTTGGAGAAGAAATGGCTCATTTTTCTCCGCCAAACAGCATGGCCACAATACCCTCTGCCGAGTGGAGAAGCCTGGCCTCCTAGGGGAAGTATAAATTATAACACCCTTCTACAATTAGACCTGTTCTGTAAGAGGGAAGGTAAATGGATTGAAGTCTCCTATGTGCAAGTTTTCTTTTCTCTAAGGGATAATCCTTAGCTACTTAAGGCTTGTAACCTATGCGCTACTGGCCCCTCCTCAGGACTACCCCCAGATTTAGGACTCCCTGTGGCTCCTCCCTCCACCGATGCTGACCAGGTCTCCTCAGCTTCAGGGAAGGCCAAAGCTGCCAAAGGCACCTCAGGCTACTAGGATGCCCCAACTCTGCCCCCTACAGGCAGTAGGAGGAGAATTTGGCCCAACCAAAGTCCGTGCTCCTTTTTCACTTTCTGACTTAAAGCAAATCAAGGCAGACTTAGGAAAATTTTCAGATGACCCAGACAAGTACATAGATGTTCTGCAGGGCCTGGGTCAGTCCTTTGAATCGGATTGGAAAGATATCATGTTATGGCTTAGGCAGACCCTAACCAGCAATGAGAGGCTGCTCTAGCAGCAGTTCAAGAGTCTGGGGACACCTGGTACCTCGGTCAAGTACATAACCAAGTGACTCCAGATGAGAAGGACAGAGCAGGAGCCATTATCTATATGAACATCATCAGGGAGGAAATCCCTCTCTGCTGCCCATTATTTAAAGAAGGAGTTAATCCCGAGGTTTGGGCAAAGGAGGGACAATTTGGGTGGGCAAAGAATGCATGCCCAATTCGAATAAAGCTAAAGGATCCGACCTCTTTTCCTTACCAAAGACAGTACCCCATAAGACCAGAAGCCAAAAGCGGGCTATGGGATACTGTAAGGAACTTAAAAATTCAGGGTCTAGTGAGGTCCTGTAACAGCCCTTGTAATAATCCAGTTTTAGGAATACAAAACCTAATGGACAGTGGAGGCTGACGCAAGATCTCAGGCTTATTAATGAAGCTGTAACCCCTTCATACCCAGCCGTACCCAACCCATACACCTTGCGCCCTCAAATGCCAGGAGAGGCCCAATGGGTTACAGTCCCGGACCTTAAGGATGCCTCTTTCTGTGTTCCATTACATCCTGACTCCCAGTTTCTCTTCGCCTTTGTAAACCCTTTAGACCAGCTCACCTGGACAGTGTTACCCCGGGGCTTTTGAGATAGCCCCCACCTGTTTGGTCAGGCTTATTCTTTGTGGCACCTCAGCTTACAGCTGCCTGAACAATACCCCTGGGGAAATATGCCTCCTCTCCTTCCTAGTGCCCCCCATGACGATTTACACCGACTCTCAAGTGCAGAGTCTTCTCTTGCCCAGGCCACACCATACTCAAACCCCAATTATTCCTTTCACAGTGGGGGCTGGAATAATAGGAGCACTTGGTACTGGCATTGGAGGAATTACTACCTCTACTCGGTTTTACTATAAGCTATCTCAGGCGTTAAATGATTACATGGAAAAGGTTGCTAATTCTCTTGAAACTCTGCAGAAGCAGCTTAACTCTTTAGGTGCCATGGCTCTTCAAAATAGAAGGGCCTTGGATCTGCTAACAGCAGAGAGAAGAGAACCTTTCTCTTTTTAGGAGAAGAGTGCTGCTACTTTGTAAACCAATCGAGTATTGTCTTAAACAAAGAACTCAGGGACTGAATCAAATGCAGGTCCCTGAGTTGTATTGGAAAGATACCATGTTACTGCTTAGTCAGACCCTAACCAGCAGTAAGAGATAGGCTGCTTCCCTGGGTCCCCTCCCACGACAGCATGGGAGCTGTCTTTCTCTCTCTCTGTCTAAAAAATCGCTTTTCCGCAAAACTCTTTGGGTCCACGATATTTATTCGAACGGCAAACTCACTGCACCTCTGGGGCCCCTTTCCCCATTCTTCAGGGTTAGCGAGGTCAAGAACCTCTTTGGAACTTGGAACTGAGTATGTTCCCCTGGTTACACAAGGATGAGAGCATGAAGGGTTGGGAGACACACAGAGACCCAAGAAGAGAAATGAGGGAAAGAGCCCTCCCAACAAGCGCATCTCAATGCTCAGCATGAAGTTACTTGGCCACCCGGCCTCTGCTCAGCCGCCCCATCCACATCTGTCTGTTCTGCCCATAAAGATCTTTGGGGACAAAAAGTACAAAGTTATTAGCTAGAAAACCAATCTCAAAACAAAATAGAGGGTCCTGACTGCCAGAGACTAAAATGGAAAGGATTTCCTCGTACTGCACAAGATGTAACTGGCAGGGTTCTATGCTTCTGTAGAGGTTTGGGCCAGAACTGCACTTTGAAAAATTGGAAAAAGACTGAATTTGGACCCTGTTATGCATCTCAGTGAGCGTCCCTCCAGGTATTGGAATGGAATGATCTGTGTCCTTCTGTGGGAAGAGAGAAATGTTTTTTGTGCACTTAAAGAGTCAGGCTATTTGTAGGTTTAATTACTTTCTCTTGTCTGATCAAGTGCCGAAGGATTAGCCCCTTGAAGATGGCTGTTAGTCCATAAATGAACACAAACGTGGGTTTGAGAATTTGTGGAGGTAGCATCAGTGCTTTTCTACATCCTGCCTGATGTAGAAATAGGCAGGTTTCATTCAAACTTGATTAAGTGACCAAAGGCGTTGAGAAACTTCATTGTACCACAGAACAGGTGAGTCTTCTGAGCATGGTTGCCACCAGAGGCTATGATCTCAATGAGGCCCTTTCCTTTTCTGCATTTTCCCAGCGAGCTGTTCAGTTGCACAGCTGCAATGCCAGAATCTCCTCCCAAAGACCCATACCTATCTCTTAAAACATGGAACTCTCTCACCGCCAACTGACCCTCCGACAAAAACCTGTTAAAGAGCTTAAAACAAGACTTAATGTGTTCCAAATTTTAATATAAATCACCTGAGGATCTTGTTAAAAAGAACGTTCTGATTCAGTAGGCCTGGGTGGGGCCTGAGATTCTGCAAGTCTAACAAGCCCCCAGGATATGTCAATACTATTAGCCCACAATAAGCACCTTGAGTAGCGAAGGCTTAGAAGACCATCTGGTTTTTCTTTTGAAAGTTTTGAAGATTATTTGGTCCTTAGAAAGCTCCTTTGAAATGCCTCAGTGTTACCTAAAAGCTGTTCTGGGAACCACGGCAGAAATTTTCAACCAGATGGGGCTGAAGTTAGAAACAGTGAGGACACCATGTTTCAGCTTTTCTCTGGGGCCATATTCTTAAACTCAGTGCTGACCTAATGGCTTGCTATCAAAATTAGATATAAAAATGGATTTTACCAACACTACTTGACTAACTGTGCTTGTCCCTGAGACCACCAGGCTCATTTTATTCAGTCTCAAATTGGTTATTTTCCATCAGGTAGTTTCAATTATTTTAGGGGGCAAGAAGATTTAAATGTTAAAGCACATAAACAGAAGTAATTTAATTAAATTTTATATTTGATTGAACAGAAGTAATACTTGTTATTCTGTCTCTATTTCAGGATTTTCATTTTCTGCTTGGAGAATTCAGTCATTTTAATGTCCAAAGAAACTACTGTGGAAAATTTAACTGGTCCAAAGTATGTTTAACTGTCTAGAACAGATGGGGGAAAGGGATATTTTTCCAGATGCTTTAGAAATGTTTAATATGTATTTCCTTTTACCCAAAAGCATGGTTACATATTATCTTATGCAGAGAAATGCCTTATTTGGAGAAAAATAAATATAAACATTACAGTTATGTATAAACTATGCCAATTCTTGGACTCATCCTTTGTTGTTATTTTTGAAAACCACTTGCCTTAATTAAATAAATCTCTGCCACCTATATTTTGGGAACATCTGCTGGTTAGTGTCTCTGTCTCTATGTGCTAGTGAATCTAAATAGATATCTGTTCCAAAACATTTGCCAAAACAATCTCCTTCAGGAGATTAAGACCTTAAAAGTAATTTATCATATTCGCCTATTTCAAGTCATTTGCTCAAAACAAAATTCTGGAAAGTGGCATCAGCAACATGAAGAAATAGTAAGCTCCTGACTCTACCTCCTCCCACAAATGCACCAAATAAACACCTATATTTGGATCAGTTCCCTCCAAGAGAAAGCCAGAAACTGGTTGAAAGACTCCTGAATACCAAACAACTGAGAAAATATCCACATTGAAACAGGGAGGAAGAGTAGAGATATACTGATGCACAAACCCCATCTTCACCACAGCTCCTTACAATAAGCATGAATCCTCAACTCCTAGCTTCTTCCTGAAGAATGAGGGCTTGTAACAAGCATAGAGCATCCAGTCTTTTACAATCCCTGCTGAAGGATTTGGCGCCGAAATTGTTAACGGTAGGGGGTGTCCAGGTTCTTGTCGTCTTGAACAAAGAACTGGACAAAACACACAAGGCAAGGAAGGGCTGAGGGAACTTATTGCAAATGAAAGTACACTCCGCAGTGTGGGAGCGGGCCTAGGCATAGGGGCTCAAAGGCCCTGGCACAGACTTTTTGTGAGTTTAAATATCCCCTACTTGGGGTATGCCCTATGTAAATGAAGAGGATGAAGTAAAGTTACAAAGTCATTTACTAGGTGTATGCCCTATGGAGACGGCATTTCCTGTCATAGCTGAGGTATGAATCAGCCTTATGTTCCCTGCCTCCACACCCTATTTTCCTGCCTCATCTCCCTACTGAGAGATGTGATCCCCATAAATCGTTATGGGAGTCAGAAGGACCGACGGTCTTTTCTCTATAACTGCTTCACGCTGGCTCCAGGTATAGTCCCTACCTACAGGGGATCATGGAACTCTCGCCCGGCTCCAACAGGAGCAGGCCGCTTTCTGATGGCCAGTGGTGGTGTCTTCACCTGGAACTGGCTGGACCCTTTCTTGCATGATCATCTGAAGCTTGATAGTCTCTAGGCAAGAGGAAATGAATTTGGTTAGAAGATTTAATGTGTTGTCAAGAATATATAGAGATTTGTAGGAGAAAAAACAAAACCTGGTTTGTTCTAGAATCTATGTGATTCCTTAAAGTCTTAGCACAAGCGACTCCATTTTGGTTTGATTTGGTTTGTTGGGGCCTAGTGCATTAGCTCAGTCCAAAACAATGGCCTCCCAGAATTTTGTTTAAGAAAATTCCCCATTTGTGATCAGGTTCTCACTTAGGTTAAGAGTGTGACCAAAACTTAGGGCCTCAGCACCACTCTTAGTTACCATAATTTTGGGTTTCCAGTTTCAGCATGTAATTTACAGGTTATGATGTCCTCATGGCTGTACATATCTTTCAGCTCTTTTCATTCCAGCTGAAGAGAGACCATATGACATTCTAGAGATGGCTGCATGCAAGCATTTAAAACCCATGAGAGAATACAGTGTATCAGGGAGATTATTACTATGACTATTGGGAGGAAAATACCAAGAGTTTGGAGTATGCTCCTTACCCATGGTCACCATAAACCAAACCTCCTAAAATCAAATAGACCAAAGAATGAGCTAGATGAAGAGCTCGCCCACTTCACTATGCACTTTCTTCCTCAGTCCCCTACCACTGAATTTCTATAATCTTCTTTTGATGTATTTCTCCATAGGCCACAAGTGCCAGCAGCTTTCAGAGATGCGTCTCAGTTTAACCAATTCTATCATAACTTTCACAAGAGAATTTAGTCTATTGTGTAACTGTAGCCTTTACAGCAGGATTTGCTATAGAAGCTATCATGAGGGATACATTTCTAATCATTGCTTCTTCTACTTTAAACCATGGCCTTTTAGAAGATTGAAGGCCTTCTGGCAATGCTCTCTTTACCCCATGATGTGGGTTAAGAGGAGCGAACCAATGTTTTGTTTTTGACTGATTATGAGGCAACACATGTACCATTAAAGTTTCTTACCTACGTCGGGCCTTCATCTTTTATCTATCAAGGTAGAAGGTTATCCATGTAAAAGGCTGGCTGCAAACTCCTTCACATATAAATGTCTACCCCATTAGTGCAAATAACAGATCCCTTTTCCACTTCCATTGTTCGTAGAGGCATAAGCAAGAAAAAATATTCAAAGATAAGAGTGTTGTAACAGTAGAAGTCTTCATCTGTGAACTCGGGAAAACCTGTTCACATCAAGGATGCTGTTCTCTTGTTGGGAGAATTTTCCCTGGTTAGTTTTAACCTAATGGTTCCAATGGGTGCACAGCTCCAAGAGTGTGGAGGGACCCTTCTCAGTTGTGAGATTATAAACTTGAAGTTCAAGGTCCCGAAGTTTTATTGTAGTTTGGATGGCAAGGACAGTCTTTCTCTGACGTTTCCATAATATTCAAACCATAAAAAGTTTTCTAGCCGGGTGCAGTGGCTCACACCTGCAATCCCAGCACTTTGGGAGGCTCAGGTAGGTGGATCACCTGAGGCCAGAAGTTCAAGACCAGGCTGGCTAACATGGTGAAAGCCTGTCTCTACTAAAATTTTTTTTAAAAAATTAGCCTGCATGGTGGTGGACAGCTGTAATCCCAGCTACTTGGGAGGCTGAGGCAAAAGAATTGCTTGAACCCAGAAAGGGGAGGTGTCAGTGAGCTGAGATCATGTCATTACATTCCAGCCTGGGAGACAGAGCAAGATTCTGTCTCAAAAAAAGAATAAAAATCTTTCTTTAACTAGTGAAAATAAACTGTAGCATAATAATCTACTGTTATAACATCAGCCATCTTGCATGGGAAAGCTTTAATACAACCAGAAAACATGCCCTGAAAAGAACAATTGAATGAAATCCCTTTAAAAAATGTTTAAATGACCGACCAGGTGACCAAATGTACCTGAAGCTTTCATTGTTTTCTCAGAAATATGGGATCAAGCACTGGTTATAAACTATTTTAAACAATTTCAGTATTAACTGGTTTAACATGAAAGTCTTTTCATGATATTTAATTAATTTTTTGGTTTTACTTGCATTAGCAGCTTTATACAGTTTTGGAATATATTAGTATTATTCATAAAAGCATAACCTAAAGAAGACTGACCATCATTTTGGCAATCCCATGTCCGCAAACATGTCAGATAATCCTGTTTACCTCTTTTCTGGATGTTTTCAGGCACTAGGAAAGACAATGTTGAAACTGAAGTTTGATCTTGGAATTTCAGATTACCATAAATTATTTATTTTGCCAAAATGATGATTCAGACATTTTAAAGAAACAAAAACCTTTTATAACCTTTTACAAAAAAAAGAAAAACAAAAACCCACATTCTACGGTTCTTACACGCCTTGCATGTAAAACTGTTTCTAGTCATCTTAATTGCATGTTACAATGGCGACTCTTAGCAATTTTAACTTTAATGTAAAACCTGGTAAGTTATGTTCTGATAAGGTCTGACTATTTCCTACACAGCTAGGGGCGCATTACCAACTCCATCTGTCCCCAGGCCTTACCTAGCTGGAAAGCAGGCAAGTTAAACAATTTTCAAAGGCCAAAGAAGCAGTTTATGACCTTAAAGCATTTAGCAAACCTAATATTTGAACAGAATTCAGACCAAATGTTTACATTTTGAAGACAACTGTGTTTTACTAACAGTCTTTAAAACCGTCTTTATTTTCCAAAGATTACTCAAGTCACATGAACTAAATAAAAAGCATTTTTTCACTTTTCTGATAAAATATTTGATTAAATTCTTATTATTATTAAACCAATTAACTTAAAACTTCACAGAGGAGATTAACCAGTTTGCTTAGAGAAAAAGGCCAGAGACGGACTGGTAAGAAATGTTTACCCTTGTGCTGGCATGCCAGGTTTCTGGGTTCTCTCTCCCTGAGTGGCCCTGGGGACCCTGCTTGAATGTATGTAAACAAACACATGAATTAAGAATATTCATGAATACTTTACAAATCTTGGAGAAATTAGGCAGAGAGAGAGAAATATGACTCAATTATATTTGTGAGAGTGTACTCAACACACTTAAAGTATCAGGAAGCCTAAAATCCAAGGCTAGTTTAAGGATGTTATATGTAAATTTTTGGTGTCACAAAAGAATTACCACTTGAATATAAATTTTATCTCAGCAAGGCAACTTTACTTTCTGCAGAAAAGGTACACTCACCACCAGTTTGCCACAAGAGTACACCAAACAAATGAGGTAGGGCCATTTATATCTAATGCATCCGCCCTATTGCTGTGTCCTGATTCCACTGGCTGGAACTGGACCTCACAGTCTAGGCTACACCTGGTTGGCTAACAACTTAAAACTTTCCTAACTAGGTAAAGGCAGAGGAGAATAAAAGAAAAGAGGAAGCAACTTGAGGAATGCTTAGAGGGGCAAAACTTCTTCCAAATAAGAAAGAGGAATAAGCTATGATCTAGGACGTGCCTGGGCTTGTCCAGGTGTGTCAGTGCAAATATCTAGGTTAAAGTGTAAGAACTAAGCACACGGGATACATTCATTTCTTTATTATGACTAACAGCTACTCAGGAGTGTTAGCCAAGAGTCTAGAGTAAATTAATTTTTAAAGGAGCTACAATTTATAATGAACTAACTGGAAAGCTTTGAAGAAGAACTTTTATTTATTTTTATTTTCTACAAAGGATAAAAAGCTAATGTGCTCCATTAATTCCTGCAGGCCTGACAAAGGTAGCTTAAGAATTCCGGATAAATAGAAAAATAGAACAGATGATGATTTGCTAGAAGTGCATAGGAAACAAAATAACTATTCACGGAACCAAATTAAAATAATAAAAACATGATTTTCTATGTATGGATACACAAGCAAAACTAGAGGAGAATAAACAGCAAAGGAATAAAAACCAGAAGCAAAAACAAAGAAACAGGAAACGAACCCTAAATTTTCATACTAACTTTACCCTGGAGCCTACAATGTTACCTAGGGCCCCAGAACACCCACATAATGAATATTTTATTCCTGATACACAACTCAACGTCCCCAAGTTCACCAACACCATCATATATCTTGTGCAATCAAGAGATTCACTCCAGGGGCACAAGCAGTAAGCACACTATCCACGTACAACAGTAAACACAGTGTGAAGCAATGCAAGTAAGTTGTGAAACTTGCCTCCACAATAAATCCAGCTTCATGCTTAACTATATTAAAAAAAGAATTGTCAACGTGCCCATGCATTTTTGTAATACTTCTTACTTTAATTAAGACTAAGAGCTTTAACTATGAAAATGTTAATTAGCCAAATGCTTCCAATTCTTTATCAGGTTTTAAGGAATATTTTATTGTTTAAATTTTTCCACATCTTTCTCCCCAACTGATGGTTCCTTATTATATTGTTCCATAAATAACCTTTTCTTTTATCCTTTCTTTTTTAATTGAGACAGAGTCTCTCTGTCACCCAGGCTAGAGTGCAGTGACACAGTCTTGGCTCACGGCAACCTCTGCTCCTGGGTTCAAACAATTTTCCCACCTCAGCCTTCAGAGTAACTAGGATTACAGGTGTGTGCCACCGTGCCTGGCTAATTTTTGTATATTTCAGTAGAGATTGGGTTTTGCAATGTTGTCCAGGCTGTTCTCAAACTCCAGACCTCAAGTAATCTGCCCACTTCGGCCTTTCAAAGTGCTGGGATTACAGGTATGAGCCACCATGCTTGACCCATAAATAACCTTTCAAGTCTGGAATTTGACCTGACTTTTAGATAACTTCTGAATTAGACAAATGTTTTTTTCACTAATAACATAACTCTTTCTGGCACATTTTGCATAGAGAATTGCGTGTTAACTACAGTTTTATCCTTAGCAACCTAAAATTTTAGTGAAACCCTAAAAAGCAAGAAATCTTGGACTACTAGATATGGGCATTTACAGGTAAAAACAATTCAAAAATTTTAGAAACATATTTCTCCATAATTACAACTCTTTCTTAATTGGAAATGACCCAAATATCAAATGGACATTAAAAATAACTTGAAGATTTTAATTTACACAAAAAGTTTACCTAAAACATTTATCCTGGCTGGGCACAGTGGCTCATGCCTGTAATCTCAGCACTTTGGGAGGCTGAGGCAGGTGGATCACATGAGGTCAGGAGTTGGAGAACCTAACCCAACATGGCAAAACCCTGTCTTTTTACATACAAAAAATTAGCCAAGCATGGTAGCAGGTGACTGTAATTCCAGCTTCTTGGGAGAATGAGATGGGAGAATTGCTTGAACCCAAGAGGCAGATGTTGCAGTGAGCCAAGGTCGTGCCATTGCACTCCAGCCTGGGCAGTAAGAGTGAAACTCCATCTCCAAAAATAATAATAATAATAAAAATGAGGGTGGGGAAAAGAAAAATTACCTCATTCACTGTACTTAAGTTTTACTTTCAAAAAAGGAGACACAAGACATTAATGAACATATGTAAAACGGACATTGGTTTCGTCTGGAAAGATGGGACGACTCTAAGTGAGGAGGCTTGGGGGCTTTCAGATCGCAGGTGGGAGACTAACCGCTCCATTCTTTAGAGTTTCCCATTAGCCTTTCCAAAGGAAGCAATCATATATGCGTTTATCTCAGTGAGACTTTGAGTAGAATGTGAGGCACGCTTGCCCCAAGCAGCTCCCAGCATGAATTAACACTGACATTTTAAAATATCTAACAAAGACAAACATAAAATTCAGACAAAATGTATGCTCACAATTCTGAAGGCATTTCTATTTTTATTACACCAATGATTTTAAAGCTAGCTTGTTTAGTAAAGTGATACTTTAAGTTGCTTGAATTTGAAAATTGCTTAGACTTATTTAGTTAATTTATGAGCGCTCTTTTACTTTTAAGCCAATTTCATAGACACAACATGTAACAATAAGTGTACATATAAATAAACACATCTAGACATGTACAAACACACATAAACGAAGATCTGATAGCTTGGAACCTTAGCTTATACAAGCTTGCAATCTGATGCAATAGCTATACAAGCTTGCAATCTCATGGCTAAGGTTTCACTTTGCCCCAATAGATAATCCAATGAAGGCTGTGAACCAAAATTTTGGGTAAAGCAGTCTCCACAGTGTCAGGCCTCCAAGCTCAAGCCTGGCCATTGTAGCCTTGGTGACCTGCATGTACACCTCCTGATGGTCTCCAGGAGCCAGAAAGTCTGAAGTAACTGGATGGCCACAAACAGAAGTGAAAAGACTGGTTCCTGCGTCAACTGATTGTTCTCCCCCTGCAACGTTCAACCATTGTTCCTGCTCAACCTTGTGAAATTTCCCCCAGACATTAGGTTTCCCAAGACCTCCACCTCTGTAATTATCAATTTATATCACCCTCCCCTCTACTTGCAACCAATAATCCCCACCCTTATGACCATGCCTGTTTGTGATAACCCCTACCCTTGTGACCATGCATCCCCTGATCCCTCCCCCTCCCTAAAATAGATTACCACCTTTAACTTACAATTTGTTCCAACCTATATAACCAGTCCCCATTCCTACACCCCTCACCTAACTCCTCTCTCAGACTCAGCCCACTTACATCCAAGTGCAAAATAAAACGGCCTGATTGCTCACACAAAGCCTGCCTGGTGGTCTCCTTACAGAGTGACACACCTAACACACAGCAGTTTGATTTTTAAGAGCCAAACCTCCTCAGACTCCAAAGAGCACTGGGGCCAAACCATACCAAAGGAGGCTGCCATACATTAACCAGCCCCCTGCTTAGAGTCACAGCACAGAGGCCTGGAAACATGCAGAGCCATCCCACTTTCCCAGTCAGCAGTAAACTCCAGATTTCAAACGATGTTGGGGCCAAGCAGCATTGCACCTGCAAGAGAAAATTCCAAGGAGGGCTTAACACTAGACCTCAGAACCTCTCCCAAGAGTGCCCTCTTTGGAGTGGTTGGGGTCTGCAGAACCCACAGAGTGTCCCCCTGTGGGGTCCAATCTTAGAGTGACAGACATCTCTGGTCTTAGGTGGACACCTCTGCAGGTTTTTCCCTCCAGAGAGTACTATGAGCTTTATAGGAATAGCCATGAACTATAATGAGAACTGAATGCTGGGGGGGCCATTTTGTTCTATAGCCAGTTGAGTATGATAAGAGAAGAATTTAGCATATGGAAAGAAGGTTTAAGTCTCCTAAAACACGTGCAAGTTTGCTTGGAGCTGCACTGTATGAAGGGATCAGGGACTGCATGTATGGAAAATATTTTTTTGAAAAATCCTTCCCGCTTCGAGGCAGGGCAATTATTTCCATTCATTTCTAGGCCTTCAGACAGTATCAGGGAGGGATGCCAGCCAATTGTCCTCAATTTCCAAGGAGGTACTAGGAAACAGCCACTGAAAGACTGAAAAAGTGGAGGAAAAATATGAAGAAGCCTCCGGTCCCTTAAGCTAACTGGGCAATGGCAGTCAGGCTTCTCCACGTGGAAACCCCTTAGTTTCACTGACCATGGCCTGAAACCTGCAATTGCTTCCATGTTTAGGTGCTGCCCGCCAAAGGTCTAGGGTTGGAAAGGGAGAGAGGGAGCGAGAGAGAGAGAGAGACAGAGAGAGACAGATGCAGAGGCAGAAAGAGACAAAGAGAGAGAGAGAATGAGAGAGAGAGAGAGAGAGAGAGAGAGAGAGAGAGAGAGAGAGAGAGATTCCCTGTATGGAGCAGAAAGAAAAAGAAGAAAGGAGAAGAATAAATCCAAACTTTGGACTTACCTCTTCCTCCAGGCTGGCTCCCCAAAATATGTTAACGGTGGAGGGTGTCCAGGTTCTTGGCATCTTGAACAAAAACTGGACAAAAAGCATAAACAAAGCAAGGAAGGGACAAAGGGATTTATTGAAAATGAAAGTACACTCCACAGTGTGGGAGTGGGCCTGAGCACAGGCGCTCAAAAGCCCTGTTACAGAGTTTTTGTGAGTTTAAATACCCTCTACTTGGGGGTACGCCCTATGTAAATGAAGAGGATGAAGTAAAGTTACAAAGACATTTACTCAGTGAATGCCCTATGGAGAGGATATTTTCTGTCATAGCTAAAGTGGAAATTGGCCTTATGTTCCCTGCCTCCAGACCCATTTTTTCTGCCTCAAAATTACCTTGCTTGGGGATCAGCAGTCTCTGCACTGGAGAATTTCCTTGAAATACAAAGAGGTAGTTTTGAACTGCAAGAATATTCTCAGAAGCTGCAGCCCCCAAGTATAGTCCAGCTTCCAGCTTCTTGCAGAAAGGGGTTTGTCTGCACAAGTTTTCAGCAGTTCCCTTATAGTTCAGCTTCTAATTAGCTTGCACCTAGGAGCCTACAGGGCAGATTAAAGAATAAACCTCTTCAAGCCTGAATAAGAGGGACAACACTTTCTGCACCTTCTTTCCCAGCTTGTTCCAGCAAAAAATCTAAGCCTGCAGATTTTTCACTGAAAGAAGTTTGGGAGACCTTAGCAAGTCTGTATAGGAGGGTGGGGACCTTCCCCACTGGCACCTTCTTCCATGGCTTGCTCCAGTATTAAATCCAGGTCTGCAGACTCTTCCCAGAAAGAGTGTACATGCATTGAGCACCTCAACTTTTACAAATCCCACCCAAGGGCCTGGCTCCTAAGTCACCTAGCTTCACCTAGCTCTGGGAGCTGATAGTGCTCTTCATTTCTGAGTATTCCTAGACCACAGAGAACAAAAGTGTGATTTTTAAACTTGAATACTCAGGAACTATCATTCTAGGTTCAGAAAGTATAGTCTAAATGAACATGCAGGCATCTGTCATAGACTGTCTCCTTAGAGTAGAGTGAATCAGAGATAAACTCTGGTTCTCAGCTTCTCCCTATGGAAAAAAGGAACGAGAGCATACATGTAACACCTAAACATTTCCAGCTGCATCCCAAGGAACTGACTTCTATCTCACCTGTCCCATACTAACATGGTTGGTCTAAGATGGCCGACCACTAACAGCTCAGGATTGTAGCTCCCAGTGAAAGCTCAGAAAACGAGACGACGCCATATCTTTAGACGAATTTTCGTCACTCACCGATTAGCCGATTCCCAGTGGAGGAGCCCCACGGGTCGCCAGCGCGACTCTTGTGGCCGCCGCAGCGGTTTTGCCGGCGTCTCGGCGCAGCAGCTCTTCATGCAGAGCCAACGGGACTGCTTCCCCTACTGACCAGAGTTTGGAGCTCCGGGAAGTCAGAGCCGCTTGTTGCGGACTCAAGAGGGAAGCCAGACCAGAGATTCCCGGGCAGAAGAGCACCATCAGTCTTATCGCTGCTATTTAGGCTGCCACAGTGGGTGGCTCGGATCCCAGCACTGGGAATCAGTAAGTCGGACGTCGACTCAGAAAACTAATTAGAAAGGCGGTTCATCTATAATGAAGGGAAAAAAACAGCCTAAGAAGGTCGAGTATACTCAAAATCAGAACCCATCAGCAACGGAACAAGCCCTGATGGAAAAGGACTCATCAGCAATGGAACAAGCCCTGATGGAAAAGGACTCATCAGTAACGGAACAAGCCCTGATGGAAAAGGACTGTGTTCCATTATCTGAAGTAGGCTTTAAAAGGTGGATGATAAGAAACTTCTGGGAGTTAAAGGAACTTGTTCTAACCCAATGTAAAGAAACTAAGAACTTGGAAAAAAGGTTCGATGAAATGTTGAAAAGAATAGACAATATAGAGAGGAATACAAATGAACTTATGGAGTTGAAAAATACAACACGAGAACTGAGTGAAATATGTACAAGCTTAAACAGCCGAATGGATCAAGCAGAAGAAAGGGTATTAGAGGTCGAAGACCAACTTAATGAAACAAAACGACAAGACAAGAATAGAGAAAAAAGGATAAAAAGGAATGAGCAAAGTCTCCAAGAAATATGGGACTATGTGAAAAGACCTAATATACGCTTGATTGGTGTACCTGAATGTGACGGAGAGAATGAATTCAAGCTGGAAAATACTCTCCAGGACATTATCCAGGAAAATTTTCCTAATTTAGCAAAGCAGGACACTATTCAACCCCAGGCAATACAGAGAACACCACAAAGATATTCCTCAAGAAGACCAACCCCAAGGCACATAATCGTTAGATTCACCAAGATCGAAACGAAGGAGAAAATATTAAGGGCAGCCAGAGAGAAAGATCAAGTTACCCATAAAGGTAAGCCTATTAGGCTTACAGCAGATCTCTCAACGGAAACCCTACAAGCTAGAAGAGAGTGGGGGCCAATATTCAATATACTTAAAGAACAAAACTTTCAGCCCAGAATTTCATATCCTGCCAATTTAAGCTTTACATTTGAAGGAAAAATAAAATCTTTTAGGAACAAGCAAGTACTTAGAGATTTTATTACCACCAGGCCTGCTTTACAAGAACTTCTAAAAGAAGCATTATACACAGAAAGGAACAACCAGTATGACCCTTTCTAAAAATACACCAAAAAGTAAAGAGCATTAACATAAAGAAGAATTTTTATCAACAAAAGGACAAAATAGCCAGTTAATATCAAATGGCAGCAACCCTAAAGTTAAATCAACCAAATCTCCCAATCAAAAGATACAGACAAAATCCAACGGTATATCCAAAGATATACATAGACTCAAAATAAAGGGTTGGAAAAAAAAAAACGTACCAACCACATGGAGAGCAAAAATAAATAAATAAAAAGCAGGAGTTGCAATTTTCACATTTGACAAAATAGATTTCAAAGCTATAAGGATACAAGGGTAAAAGGATTAATGTAACAATAAGAGATCTTAACACCCAGATACATAAGACACATAGTGAGATTTAGATTCAACGAGACAACAAATTGATAACGATATCCAGGATTTGAACTCAGAGCCAGAACAAATAAACACAATAGAGGTCTCCATTTTAAACACATAAAATATGCATTAACCACTTTAAACACTCAAAATATTGATCGGCCATTATTGAAACCCATTTTAGGAATGAAGTAATATTCCTTTTTCCCTCTTTTTCTTTTTTTCCCCTTCTTTTTCTCTTTTTCCCTAAAAAAAAAAAAAAAAAAAAAAAATAACATGGTTGGTCTTACTATAATCTGCTGGGGTCACTAAGAACAAGGACAGCAGCCTGGGCAAGTGCGTAGACTTTAGAGGCATCTAGAATCTCTGGTTAGGCTGATTGGTGAGAACCATCTTCTACAAGCAGCTAATCTAGTGAGAGTGGGAGAGGTGGTTGTCTCACCTAATGCACAGAAATTCAGAGAGTCAAAGAAAATGAAGAAACAGATATATCTTCCAAATAAAAGAATAAATCTTCAGAAGCTAACCCTAAAGAAATAAAAATATATGCTTTACCTGGCAGAGAGTTCAAAAGGACTGCCATAAAAATGCTCCCCAAGATCAGAAAAGCAATGCATAAAGTGAATATTTCAACAAAGAGAGATAATATTAAAAAGTAGAAATCAGAGCTGAAGAATACAATAACTAAACTGAAAATTTTAATGGAGAGGTTTAACAGTAGACTAAATCAAGCAGAAAAAAGGATTAGTGAACTTGAAGACGGATCACAGAAAACCATTTAATCTTAGGAGTAAACATAAAAAGAATGAAAATGAATGAGGATAGCTGAAGAAACTTAAAAACACCATCAAGCAGAACAATGTACAGATATAAAATAAATATATGTTTAAAAGTTTACTTAACTTATTATTAATGAGGGATTACAAGTTCTGAAGAAAATCCAAAAACAGACACATTCATAAATCAGGAACATTGAAATGAATATGCAATCAGAGACAAAACTGGCTTCTTCCACATGAGGGAAGGAAGTCAATTGAATCTTCATTGGACAGTTCTGCATGTATAGACAAGAATTATTTTGCATTGCTATTAATTATCTGCCATTTACAATGTTTGAAAATAGCTTCAAGGCACTGAAAGGTGCAGAACTCTCACAGACTCAGAATCAAATTACTTATTGAGAGATATGCTCTAGTTTTCCATTGAAACATAAATTTTTCCTATTGTCTGGGGAAGTTAAGAAATAGATCAGGCTGCTTATGTTGGAGAGTATCAGATTGCAGAGCCCTTAACGCCAGTGGGACGCAGTATTAACCTATACATACTAGTATCAAAGTGATCAAAGTGGCTAGATAATAGCCTTGAGGACAAAGTATTCATGAAAGGAGTAGTGAAGAGTCCCTGGAAAGCTGGAGGCATTTTGGAAGCTTAGCATTGATAGATTTGAGGCTAAAAAGGCCTGAACTAAAATTGAGGTAGTAAGACTCACAAGAAAGGATAATTATAAACATAATTACATAAGAAGAATCAATATTGATTGAGGAAAAGAGAAACAAAAGGTAACTGTGGTTTTAAATATGATTTGAAGTATTTCCTTTTAATTCAACAAACAATGAGTGCCTGAAGTATACTAGCATTGTGCAAGGTGCTGGAATCACAAAAATGAGTGAGTTTTTTTTTTTTAATTTAAATTTTACTTCTACAGAAAACCATCAAACCATGAAGGAAGACTCCAAGAAAGAAAAAGAAAAAAGAATCTATAAAACAGTCGAGAAAATAACAGTAGTAAGTCCCTAGTTACCAGTAATAATTCTGGATATAAATGGATTAAATTCTCCAATCAAAAGACATGGAGTGGCAGAAAGATTTTTTCAAAGCCTAACTATCTGCTGCCTACAAGAGACTCATTTCACCTTTAAGTAAACACACAGCTTATAAGTGAAAGGATAGCAAAACACATTCTGTGCAAGTGGAACTCAAAAGAGAGCAAGGGTAGGTATACTTATATCAGAGCAACATAGACTATAAATAATAAACTATATGAAGAGACAATGAAGGTCATTATATAACAAAAAGAAGTAAATTCATCAAGAGGATGTAACAATTGTAAATATATATGCACTGACTATCAATGCACCTAAATACATAAAGCAAATATTGAGGAATCTGAGAGACAGACTGTAATGCAATAATAATAGGAGAGTTTAGTAACCCACTTTTGACAATGAGCAGATTTTCAGCAGGAAATCAATAAGTAAATATTGGACTTCAACTATACTTTAGAGCAAACGAACATCATGACACACACAGACTATTTCATCTAACAGCAATAGAATACATATTCATCTGAAGTGTACATGGAACATTCTCTTGGATAGATCATATGTTAGGCCACAAAAGAGGTCTTAACAAAATTAAAGAGATTAAAATTATATCAAATATTTTTTCCCAATCATGGTGGTATGAAACTGGAAATCAACAACAGAGGAAACTTCTGAAAATGTGCAAATACATGGCTTTAAACAGGATTTTTATGTCATAATGAAGGCTAATAAAAGGTTTTTGCCTTTTGAGTCACCATTTGGGAAAAATAATTTGTGACACATGAAATTGCCAAAATGATATCCAATCTTCTTTAAGTTATATTTTGGTGAATAATACTAATGTATGTTCAAAATTGTATAGGATTTCTAAAATTCTAATGTCTAGGTATATGCTATCAATCATAATTAAGGGTAAAGTTATTGTAAACCACAGAGATAAACAAACCTCCTTGTCAGTCATGTTTTTAACTGTAACTATCCTGAAAATGTTGCCATTTGGAGACAACTGTTGTCTTACTTTGTTCTTTCTCAAAAGATGGTTTAAAATCAAGCTCTACTAAAGACTATAACAGGTATTCGCAAATACAGGTTTTTAATAACTTTGAAGGTTGTAACATTGGAATAGAGAAAGAATGTATGGGACTCATAAAGAACTAACATGCTCACAAATATCAAGCAAAACAAGAGTCAAATAAATGGAGTGCACTCAGAAAGTTAAAGCAAACTTTTTAACTTTTGCTTGGAATATTGCTAATCCTTGATTTGTTTTGCAGAGTCAAGGAAACTTATTTAAACTATTCGTGGCTTTTAATAATTAAGGTATACTCCTAGGAACAAAATTTGGAGCATGTTTATTTTTCTCTGCCTGGTTCCTCTAAAATATGGAAACTATCTGGGAGTACTCTTAACTTACGGCAATATAATTGTTCGCATCTGTGCAATAAGAATCCATTTTTTTTTTTGAGACGGAGTTTCGCTCTTGTTACCCAGGCTGGAGTGCAATGGCATGATCTCGGCTCACCGCAATCTCCACCTCCTGGGCTCAGGCAATTCTCCTGCCTCAGCCTCCTGAGTAGCTGGGATTACAGGCACACGCCACCATGCCCAGCTAATTTTTTGTATTTTTAGGAGAGATGGGGTTTCACCATGTTGACCAGGATGGTCTCGATCTCTTGACCTTGTGATCCACCCGCCTCGGCCTCCCAAAGTGCTGGGATTACAGGCGCGAGCCACTGCGCCCAGCCAAGAATCCATTTTTCTTTGTCAATAGGACAAAATTGGAAAAACTTGTTATTTTACCAAGGTTTTGACTGAAAGGGTGTGTTTCTTTTTAAGGAATCTAACTTAACCTGCAGAGCCAATAAAACCCCTTGGGGAGAACTGGCCTCATACCTTGTCTGTACAGTCCCTGCACACGGTTCCTAACCTGTGGTGAGTAAAGAATGTCACTTTCTAACAGGTCTCGAAGCTCTGAGGTGTCTTCCAAGTATAAGACTAAAGTTTATTCATAATTAATTTTTGCCAAAAATGAGGACTGGAGTGAAAAATTTTGCTCCAAAGCTTATCATACATTTGTCATTAAATCCTAGTCTCATTAATTGTTTTTAAACTTTTTGCCTACACTTTAGACTAACTCTTATTCCTGTGAATCAAGTGGTGATCTTCTGTAGCTTGGGCAAAAAGGGATGAGTAATGTAAAAATGTTAATCAGTATGCTACTTCTGGGCAATTATTTTGCAAATTCTGTCAGGTAATGAAAGTAAGTAAGGTGCCCATAACCCGAAAGTTTGTTTGGGAAAATAAAACCAAGAAACTTCATAGACCCCCAAAGGGGAATTCTATATCTTGGCAAGTAAAATTTTAGATGGAAATTATCTACTACACCACATTTGTGGGAATTGCTGTGCTCACTCTACTACTTGCAATAGGGTTATACATGGTAACAGCTTCTAACTGAAATATTGAACAGAGCGTTTCCTTTGAAGTAGTATTTTGCTTAATTATTAGCCTTAAAGCAGAGATAACAGTTGACAAAAAGGAAGCATGAAAGTTTTACTATCACTGAGTCTGCTAGGACTTTTTATTGGATTTATTGGGTTTTTAAGTGAAACATGCTGCTTTTGGATTAACACCTCTAGTAAAGTAGAGGAAAATCTTCAGGTACTTAAAGATCCAATCAAAATTATTGACAGGCTCATGGAAAATGCTGGCTTCAGCCCCAGGTGGCTACAATCCCTCTTTGATGAATTCCAGTCTTTTTTTTTTTTTGAGACGGAGTTTTGCTCTTGTTACCCAGACTGGAGTGCAATGGTGCAATCCCGGCTCACCGCAACCTCCATCTCCTGGGTTCAAGCAATTCTCCTGCCTCAGCCTCCCAAGTAGCTGGGACTACAGGCATGCGCCACCATACCCAACTAATTTTTCTATTTTTAGTAGAGAGGGGGCCGACCATCCAGTCTTCTTTATGAAATTGGTTAGCCCTTTTATTAAGCCCTCTTTTGCTTATATGTCTTGTATTAACATTTGGACCCTCTATACTCAGTACAACTTGTTTCTTCTCACCTAGAAGCAAACTCCAAATGGTGCTGTAAACTGAATCACACATGGACATGTCATTCTACCGAGGACCCTTAGATCCACCCCAGAAGGAGCCCTAGCTGTTGTTCCCCATTGGATGCCCCTTTTCAGCAGGAAGTAGCCAGAAAGAGTCGTCGCCCAAAACCCTCTAACAGCAGTTAGTGTGGCATCTCCACAGGAGGGAATGTTGTAGGAGTTATTAAGAGGTTATTTTAAACAGATAGAGAGGAAAAGAGGTCCTTGGGAAGTTTTCATTTTTTAAAGCATCTCCAGAAAAATTTCTTATAAAGCCCCAGCTCTTAAGAGCCAGGCAAGCAACTTTTGATATGGAAATGCAGGTCATTAGAAACGGGGTCCACCCAAATGGTGATTCCTGTGGTCTTCTTGCCTTTTGCCCACATGTTCCTGGCAACATATCCCCACGTGTGTAGAACATCCATGGTGCTCTGTATTTGCATATTAAAAGGCTGGCTGAGAGGGCCAGCTTTTTCACAGGCTACCTAAATGATATGCCTGGTCAAACCAATCCCCTGAGCCCTAGGCAAATCAGACATAGACTCCTCCAGCCTCTGCATATATACCTGGCTAGTGTCCATCACATATAGGGACTTCTTCTTTCAGCTTTGGAGACCCTTTCCATCTGTCTCTGTATGGGGGAGCTTCTTCCTTCTGTCTTCTTGCCTATTAAACTCCCTGCTCCTTAAAACAAACAAACAAAAATCATAATTATTTATATACCTAAAATAAAGCTTCAAAATGAATGAAGCAGAAATTAATGGAATTGCAAAGAGAGGCAACTCTCAACATACTGAGAGTTGTCAAAAAAAAAAAAAAAAAAAAGAATTGCAAAGAGAAAGAGAAGTAAACAAATCCAAAGTTACAGTCAGAGATAGCTATACTCCTTTATTAAAAATTGGTATAACATGTAGATAAAAATTCTAAATAGAATTTTAACAAAAATAATTCAGTAATATATTAGAAGAAAAATACAATGAGGCCATGTGGGATTTAGTCTAGAAATGCAGAGTTGGTTTAACATTAGAAAAATCAATGTGATTGATCATATTAACAAACTAAACAAGAAAAAAAATTATAATCTCAACGAATGGGGTAAAAGCATTTGACAAAATCCAATATTCATTCCTGATTTTTAAAAACTAATTTCTCAATAATTAGGAATAAAAGGAGTCCTCTTTATCCTGCTTTAGGGCATCTACTAAAACCTACAGCAAACATACATAATGGTAGAAGATTAAGTGTTTTCTCCTATGACCAAGAACAAGACAGTGATGTCTGTTCTCACTCCTGCTATCCACGTTGTACTAGATGTTCTTAGTCTGTGCAATCAGCCAAGAAATAAACTCTGTCCAGAGTAAAAGGAAGAAGTAAAATTGTTTTTATTTGCAGATGACATGGTTATCTACATAGAAAATCTGATGGTATTTTACTCACTCTCAAAAAAAAATAAAGTAAAGCTAGTAATAAGTGAATTTAGCAAGGTTGCAGAATACAAGATCGTACACAAAAATCGATTGTATTTTAATATATTAACAGTGATCAGAAGTTGAAATTTACAAACAATACCATTCAAAATAGCTTCTAAAAATATGACATACTTAGGAAAAAATTTGACAGAAATATGCAAGAGTTACACACTGAAAGCTATCAAACATTGATGAGATAAATTATAGAAGATCTAAATCAAGAGTGTCCAATCTTTTGGTTTCTCTGGGCCACATTGAAAGAAGAAGACTTTCCTTGGGCCACACATAAAATACACTAATACTACTGATAACTGATGATCTAAAAAAAAAAATCACCAAAAGTATCTCAGAATATTTTAAGAAAGTTTACAAATTTGTGTTGGGCCACACTCAAAGCCATTCTGGGCTGCATGCAGCCCACAGGACACAGGTTAGACAAGCTTGATCTAAATAGATATGAATGCCATGTTCATGGCTCTGAAGACCCAAAGTTAAGATGTCCATTCTCTCCAAGTTGATCTATAGTTAGCGAAATCCTAATAAAAATCCCAGCTGGGTTTTTTTGTGTATAGAAATTGACAAACCAATTCTAAACTTTATATGAAAAATGCAAAAGATCTCAATTAGCCAAACAACTTGAAAAAGAAAAACAAAATTTGGAGAACTGACTCTATCTGATTTTAAGTTTTATTATAAAGCAAAAGTAATCAAGACAGTGTGGAAATGGCACGAAGATACACAAACAGCTCAATGGAACAGAATAAAGATTCTAGAAATAGACTCACACATGTGGACAATTAATTTTTTACAAAGCTACAAAGGCAGTTCCATGGTTTTAAAAAAAGTTTTTTTCAATAAATGGTGCTGGAACAATTGGATATTCTATGCCCAAAAAATTGAAAAGAGAAATTTCAATCCATATTTCACAGTATATACGAAAATTAAATCAAAATGGATCATAGATTTAAATATAAAATAAAAACAACTTCTGCAAGAAAACATAAGAAGAAAGATTATTTTCTTTTATAATTCCTCTGAATTCAGAGTCAGTGGAATGAAATCGCCAGAGAAATAATCTAATTATTGGCAGTGTTGAATTATTAACAAGGACAGAGGAACCGGTTATCCCCTTTGGCTTCACCATCACGTCAGTTTTGCTCTTTGTAGTAGTATAATAGACTCTGAGCCCTCTCAACCCTTTACCTGGTGGACTTCTCTTATGCCTATTTGCACTTTCAGTTGCTATTAATAAGAAAGAGAGAGGCAGGAGAAGGGAGGGGCTACATCAAATACTTTTTTTAGTTGATCCATAATAATTATACATATTTATGGGGTACATAGCGAGGTTTCAATACATATAATGTAGAGTGATCAGACCAGGGTACTTAGTATAGTCATCATTGCAAACGTTTATCATTTCTTTGTGCTGAGAACGTTCAAAATCTTATTTCTACCTATTTGAAACTACATGCTGTTGTTAGCTATAGTCATCCCACAGTGGCAGAGAACAGTAGATATTTCTCCTGTCTAGCTGCAATTTTGCATCCTTTAACAATTCTCTCTCCATCCCCCACTTCCCCAGCTATGTTGATAAACACTGGCCATGTTGTCAGGGCATAAACGATGGAACCTCAACCCATTTCCCTACCTTTTTGTTGTTGTTCTTTGGTGGTTGCTTGTTTTATATTCCAGAAGCAAGAGGATGAAAGGGATGTGAATGTTCCTCTTAGGCAGTGTTTTATTTAAATGAATTTGAGTACCAGTTTTGCCAGTTTTCAGATCCTTATGATACTGAAGTGCTGGGAAGGGAAAGGCATGGTCCCTTTAAATGATACGGAAGTGGGCAGGGAATGCTGGGTACAAGAGGATGTGGTCCTTGGCTAGAGCTCCACCCCCAGGCCTGTGCCAACGAACCTAGGTGAAAACGGGCATTTTTGTTTTCCTTCCCAAATGTTGCATTTCCCAAGACCACTCTGGTCTGCCAGGACCCCCTCCCGTGCCTATAAAAACCCCAGACCCCAGCCCTCAGACAAACAAGCGGCTGGACATCCCAAGAAACACTTCAGTGGAAGAAGACATAGGCAGCTGGATGTCAAGCGAGACACACCGGCGGAGGAACACACCGGCGGAGGAACACACCGGCGGAGGAACACACCGGCGGAGGAACACTTCGTAGGCTGGACATGCAGAGGAGCCCGGACATGCAGAGGAGCCCGGACATGCAGAGGAGCCCGGACATGCAGAGGAGCCCGGACATCCAGAGGAGCCCATTTGAAGACACAAGTGGCTGGACGTCCAGAGAAAACCTTGGGAGAAGAAGAAGAAACTGTGGCTGGACGTCCAGAGGGGCATATCAGTGGGGGAACACATAGGCGACTGGATGTTGAGAGGAGCGAACTGACAGGCTCTGGCCCACCACCAGGCCAGCGACAGGCAGAACGACGTGGAGTTTGGCTGGGGCAGTTGGAGGAGAGCCCAGGCTACTGAGTGGTCCAACTCCAGGGGAAGTCATCTCCCTTCTGGTTTCTCCATCTGCTGAGAGCTATTCCACTCGATAAAATCTTGTACTCATTCTCCAAGCCCATGTGTGATCTGATTCTTAAGGTACACCAAGGCAAAACCCTGATAGAGAAAGCCCTCTGTCCTTGCGATAAGGCAGGGGTCTAGTTGAGCTAGCACAAGCAGCCTACGGATGGCTAAACTAAAAGAGCACCCTGTAACACATGCCCACTGGAGATTCAGCTGTAAACGTTCACTCCTAGACACTTATCCTGGGGTTGGAGCCCCACAGCCTGCCCGTCCGTATGCTCCCAAGAGGTTTGAGCAGCCAGGCACTGAAGAAGCGAGTCACACCCACATCGTGTGCCCTGCGACGGGGACAAGCAAACTTTTCCCATTTCACTTAGGTAAGATGTTTTATTTTTCTGGGACTTACCCAGTTTTCTGACAGAAAAAAGATATAATTGTATTTATTGCAGTTTAGCCAGATTTTGTAATAACTACGGATTTTCCATATTAACCTGCTTTAAGAAGATATTTTCTATTCGTTAATGTAATAAACTCTGTTATAGTAGTATATGCCAGCCATTTATCTAAACAATTTATAAATGTGAATTCATTTAGTTCTAATAAGAATTCTATCTTCTTTATCCAGTCTATCATTGATGGTCATTTAGGTTAATTCTATATACATATACATCATGGAATACTATGCAGCCATTAAAAAAATGAGATAATCCCTTTGCAGGGACATAGACAGAGCTGGAGGCCATTATCCTTAGCAAACCCAGGAACAGAAAACCAAATACTGCATATTCTCACTTATAAGTGGGAGCTAAATGATGAGAACACATGGACACATGAAGGGGAACAACACACACTGGGGCTTTTCAGAGAGTGGGAGGAGTGAGAGGATCAGGAAAATTAACCAATGGCTTAATTCCTGCATGATGAAATAATTTGTACAACAAACCCCCATGACACAGGTTTACCTATCTAAAAACATGCACTTGTAGCCCTGAACTTAAAAGTCAAAAAAGCAATTATGTCATGTAGGTACAATTGTCCTCATTTTTAAAGGTTAGGTAACTTACCCAATTTCATAAAACCAGAATATGGCAGAGCTGGTATTTGAACCAAAGAGCACAGTCTGGCTACAGAGTCTGTGGTCCTAACCACTAGGCATTGCTGCCTTATAATTGATATTAAAGGTAAAGTTTGAACAGGAAAATAATCCATGTAACTCACTAACAATGGCAATCAACTTGTGTTTAAAAAAGTTTGTGGCCTGGCACAGTGGCTCATGTCTAATCCTAGCACTTTGGGAGATCAAGGCAGGGGTATCATTTAAGCTCAGGAGTTCGAGACCAGTCTGGGCAACATGGTGAAACCCCATCTCAACAAAAAGTCAAAATAAAAAAATTTAGACAGGAGTGGTAGTACACGCCCGTGGTCTCAGCCACTCAGGAGGCTGAGGCAAGAGGATTGCTTAAGCCTGGGAGGTGGAGGTTGCAGTGAGCTGAGATTGCACCACTGCACTCCAGTCTGAGCAGCAGAGTGAGATCCTGTCTCAGAAACAAAAACAAAACAACCTGTTTGTGTTACCCAACATTAAATAATGCATGTGTTTGCATTCTTATTTTTCCTCAACCTCCTGGGCTCAGGCAATCTCCCACCGCAGCCTCCTGAGTAGCTGGGACTACAGGCACACACCACTACGATCAACTAATTTTTAAATTTTTATTGTCTGTAGAGAAGGGGTCTTGCTATGTTGCCCAGGCTGGTATCAAACTCCTGGCTCAAACAATCCTCCTGCCTCACCCCCACAAAGTGCTGGGATTACAGGCATGAACCACTGCATCAGGCCTTAAGTTTTTAAATGTCTGCTAGTTTTTATCACACAGTAAGCACACATGTATTGATTGGCTGACTGGTCACACATTAATTCTCAATTAGCTATACTGACAAAATGTAGAAATAAATTAATAACAAATATTTGGCTTTTGAATATCTAATATGCTAGAGCAGGTTGGAGAAGACTTTTGTCTGCCATTCCTTTTCCTAAATGTACTTTCCCTAGGGTGTTTACTAACTTATGCCCCAGAAGTCCTGTAAGATATCAGTAAATTTCTTCAAACTTTCATCAAAAATATTATTTTCTATACATCTGAAGTCATTTTACCATCAGCCATCATGAGTCTGTAATTCATCTTTATTCAGCAAGATCTTTGAAACCAAAGCAGGTCTACTCCAGGTTCTGTAGACTTTATCAGCCAGCTCAGCAATGGCAAATGGATCTCATCTGGAGTGTTAACTCTGGACAATTGTCCCTTGGAGCAATGGATAGAAAAGAGATCTGAGGCTGACCCTTGGCTTAATCGTATAGTGCATCATCTCTAGGGCACCAGGGGATGCACTGCCGCAGAGTAACACCCATTCTATTCCTGTGGCCCAGCTCTTGACTCCATACTATTTGCGCAATTTTCTTTTTAATTTTGAGACAGAGTTTCCCTCTTGTTGCCCAGGCTGGAGTGCAATGGGGCAGTCTTGGCTCAACGCAATTTCCACCTCCCAGGTTCAAGCAATTCTCCTGCCTCAGCCTCCCAAGTAGCTGGGATTACAGGGATGCACCACCTCGCCTGGCTAATTTTGTATTTTTAGTAGAGACAGGGTTTCTCCATGTTGGTCAGGCTGGTCTTGAACTCCTGACCTCAGGTGATCCGCCAACCTCAGCCTCTCAAAGCGCTGGGATTACAGGCGTAAGCCACCACGCCTGGCCCTATATTTGTTCAGTTTTCAAAGCCAATGATTGTGAGGGATTCAAACGCCATTGTCAGAGGATCCTCAAATAGCTAGAAAGACATCTTCACTTCATTAAATTGAAGTCCAGTGAAGATAAGAGCCAGCAATATCGATTTCCATTGTCATTCTTAAAAGTCAGCCAGGAATTCTACTCCCTTTATTTTCTAAGCTTCAAATGACTAGCCTCTCAAATAAGAGATTCTGGAAAAAGGTTATTAGAGATCCCTTTTCCCTGAAAGTCAAGAGGCTGGAGATAACACAGGTCAAATCAAGACTGGCGATGGGACCTGAGAACCTAGTGATTTGGCAGTTTAAAGTAAGGATCCTGGTCTTTTATGAGCCTTGGTTTATCTATCTATAAAATAACACCCACTTCTCAGCACTGGAAATCAAGTGATATATTTATAGAATAAAGTGAGGAATTTGCTCAACATCACCTGAAATCAGGGAATTGCAAATCAAAACCATAATGGGATATCATCTTTCATCTGTTAGGATGGCCATTATAAAAAAAAAATCAAAAGATAATGAGTGTTGACAAAGTTGTGAAGAAAAGTGAACCCTGGTATCCTGTTGGTGAAAACATACATTGATACGGACATTATGGAAAACAGTTCCTTAAAAAAGTTAAAAATGGAACTACAATATTATCCAGCAATCCCACTACTGGGTATATATTCAAAGAAAATAAAATCACTAACTCAAAGAGACATCTGCATGCTCACGTATATTGAAGCTTTATTCACAGTAGCCATGATATGGAAGCAACCGAAATGTCAATAGATGAATGGATAAAGAAAATAAATGTGATACATACAAGCACCACACACTATGGAATATTAGCCTTTAAAAAGAGAGAAATCCTGGCCAGGCACGGTGGCTCATGCCTGTAATCCCAGCACTTTGGGAGGCTAAGGTAGGTGGATCACCTGAGGTTGGGAGTTAGAGACCAACCTGACCAACATGGAGAAACCCCATCTCCACTAAAAATACAAAATTAGCTGGGTGTGGTGCTGCATGCCTATAATCCCAGCTACTCAGGAGGCTGAGACAGGAGAATCCCTTGAACACGGGAGGCAGAGGTTGAGGCGAGCTGAGATTGTGCCACTGAACTCCAGCCCTGGGCAACAAGAGCAACTCCGTCTCAAGGAAAAAAAAAGGGATATCCTGCCATTTGTGACAATATGGATGAACCTGGAGAACATTATGCTAAGTGAAATTAACCAGACACAAAAGACAAAATTTGCATGATCTCCTTTATACATGGAATGTTAAAAAGTTGAACCCACAGAAGCAGAGTGTAGAATGGTAGCTATCAAGGACTAGGGTGGAGGAAAATGGGAAGATGTTGGTCAAAGGGTGCAGACTTTCTGAATTACAAATAAATTCCGGAGACCTAATGTATAGCATAGAGACTATACTTAATAATAATGTATTGTATACTTAGAATTTTCCAAGAGAGTAGAGCCACACACACACAAAAATAGTAACTAAGTTCAATGATCTAAATGTTTATGTCTCCCAAAATTTATACACTGAAACTAAATTTCTAAAGCAATAGTATTAAGAAGTGGGGACTTTCAGAGGTGCTTAGTTAAAGGGATTAGTGCCCTTATAAAAGAGGCCCAAGAGAGTTTGTTCCTTCTACTAAGTGAGGATGCAGTGAGAAGATGCCATCTGTGAAGCAGATGGTAAGCCCGCAGCAGACACTGAGTCTGCTGGTGCCCTGATCTTGGACATCTTAGCCTCCAGAACTGCAATCAATAAATTTCTGTTGTTTATAAATTGCCCAGTCTAAGGTATTTTGTTATAGCAGCCTGAATGCACTAAGACACTAGGTGAGATGATGGATATGTTAGCTTGATTGTGGTTATCATTTCCCAAAGTATACACATAATCAAAACATCACATTGTACACCTCAAATATATACAATTTTTGTCAATCATACCTCCAGAAAGCTGAGAGAAAAGAATAAAAGATAGGAAATATTTGAAAAATATTAGAATTCTTTTCCCAACATTAACTTAGAAAAAGTAAGGGTTTTTTTGTTGTTGTTTTTTGTTTACTTTTTTTTTTTAGACAGGATCTCACTCTGTCACCCAGGCTGGAGTGCAGTGGCGTGATCACATCTCACTACAGCCTTGACCTCCTGGGCTCCCGTGATCCTCCCACCCAAGCCTCCCAGTAGCTGGGACTACAGGCATGCCACGACACCCTGCTAATTTTGGTATTTTTTTTGCAGAGACGGGTTTTGCCATGTTGCCCAGGCTGGTCTTGAACCCCTGGGCTCAAGCAATCTGCACATCTTGGCCTCCCAAAGTGCCAGGATTATAGGTGTGAGCCACCATGTCCCGCCCCAAGTCAATTTTAAATGAAGCAAATGACAATACTAAAAAAAATATATATTAATAATACGGATACATTTGAAATGTGGAAGTCACTCAGGTTTCTTCTACCAAGTGGTCTGCTTCCAAGGAAGCTAAAAGACCCCTTTCTGTATGAAGAAAAGGAGAAATCCCAGGAAGCTTTGTGGAAGACTGAAGGAATAGATTGATATAGCCCTGCTGTGTAGAGAAAAGGCTCAAGACCAGAAGAGCAATGATT